AGTTTTATCAGAAATATGCAGTGCCCATCAATAGGGTCATCTTCAAGAAGGTGGTGTTCAAAATACCCCAAAATATGTGGTGATATTGATTGTATGGTATTATTGACTAGAATATCCGAGAGATGTTTGATATTTTTGTTAAAGATATTAGTTGTCTTTTGGAAGAAACGAAAGTATTTTTCACCATGACGGCAAATTTGAATAACTGGTCCTGAGGCTTTTGTCAATTCTCCATAAACTTTTCTTTTTTGCAATGGCATGTCAATATCGCCCTCTAAAGAATTCTTACAATTTATACAAGTAACACATTTTTTTAAACAATTCACCACAAACCCTGCAATGTATGAAACAACATCTTCTGTATAAATTGTAAGATTCCATGCAAAAGGTGTGCACTGGTAAAGGGCAAGATCGTTTTTTATTTTTTCTTCAAACTGAAGTAATTCTGGGCTATTTAAAAGATCTTCACCATCGTCCGCCCTGGTTATATGATATCCACTGCCACAAGATAAGATAGTCAAACGCTCTGGGTTATCAACATTTCCTGTGTCTGGGCCAGATATCTCTGTATGCACCAGCAATCGTTTGTATGCAGCTTCAAACTGCCTTGCACTGGGATTATTGTTGTACCCTCCCTTACTACGAATAGCTCCAAAAAAAAGCTCTAAATGATCCTGTGATAATTTATTTGTCAAAATATATTTTAAAACTTTCTTTTCTGCAATACACAAGTTATAAAACTGTTTCAAGCTCTGAATGCAAATCAAAAATCCTAAAAAACCAGTTTTTTTTGGAGAATGTATTATTGGGAGAGTACCTAGTCGCAATCCATGGATATATTGAACTGCCTCGTCCATGAATTTGAAAAATGTATCTGCAGTAGCTGGAGAAAGTGGGCGCTTAAATAGGTACTTTGAAAACCTGTTTCTAGAGTTGAAAATATCAAAAATATCGTTAAATGTTTGAACAAATTTTACGGTACCTTCCACATTAGCAAACGTCGCTAGTTTTAAATCTTTGGATAAATAGGTCAAAGCATCAGCAACACTTCTACTTAAAGTTTGTGTAGCTATTTTGACCCTCATTTTTTCTCTCGTCCACTGTAGATGACGATTTCTTATTTTTGTGCCTAAATGTAAACCTTCGATATTTTGCACATCAACTAACTTCACCAAATAATCCCAACTTATCTGATTGTTTTCAGAATCACCTAAGTATTTGATGGAACCAAAAGCGTTTCTGACTAATTTTATCATGTGGCTTGGGTCTAGGAATATGTATACATTTTGACCCGTTATAGGATGGAGAAAATAAGTCTTCAAGTTTGTTACATCGTTCAGATTTGTCCCTAGACAAGAAGCCATTGTGAAATTTACTGGAGCACCATCGAATGTTAATGATGCTACAGTAACTCCAGAAGTGTGGATGAAGGTTAGGCATTTTTTCACGAGTTCTGCCTTTTCATAACCAGTCAAGCCATCCAACAGAAAGTAACCCACCGGAATTTTCCATGCTCCATTCAAGCATACTAACATAAAAACCAACACCTCCTTTGCTTCTGGTAGAACGTCTGATTCTATGTTAGCCCCAATATCAACATACCCCGTGAACTTACTCCCTGTCCATTCAACTTGTTTCCGAATAGACATCTCATCTAGGACTAAATTACACATAACAGTAGAGTTTTTGGTTGAAGCTTCTCCTTGTTTTAATTTCATGGCCACAATGGATTCCTCAGTGAAGCCTGGTGAACCATCAATCGACTTATACCATTTGCTTATTGTTGACAGATGGGGTAGAGCAAGGTTAAATGTCTTCCTCACAAAATTGTATGCTCTTGGGGAATAAAAGCTCAGCGTGAGGGCAAATGACCGCAAGGCAGGGTTATATTTCTGGCTAGTACGCCCCCTCAACATTCTTTCAAAGATTTCCAAAGGCATACCAGAAAGAGATGCCTAAAAGAGATATTAAGTATTTAGAATGCAATTAAATCATGTAATCTGAACAGAATGAGTATTTTAAAACTAGTATTAATTACATTTATGCAAGATAAATAACATCAGGAAACTAAGATATTAACACTGAACATACCCATACTCAATTCTATTTCTACCATAACCAGTCTCATGACCTGCTGTGGTTAGATGACGATATGTATACTTGTTGTAACAAGTATTAGTCAAAATAAACAAAATACGATTAAAAAATGAATATCAAATGCTATAATTAAAAGAAAAAAATCATGGAGCTATATGTGCAAAAGTGATAAGATGATAATGCTTATTTTCAATGAGCAAGATTACAACTGGTCTTCTGACCAGTTATGGTATGTTGAGTGTTGTGTGTGTGTGTTGTAATGAAAATTATTATATTGAAAAAAAAAGTTGATCAATAGCTCCATTCAAATGAATTCGGGTATCTGGGACACACAGTCTTCATCAATCTGCTTACCTTCAATACAGTTTCAGCTGAATCTGTTATGTGATTCTTCTGCTTCAAAAGTTTCAATAAGCCACTTAGAGTTTTTATTCTTCTCCTCAAAGCAGCAACACTTGTTTGGAGACTTTTTACTTTTTTCCTCAATGTCATTAGGGAACTTTTCATCAACCGATAATTTGACTTTGATTTTCTGGGAGTGGAAAAGTCATCACTTGATAAATCTCCAACATAACGTTTTAGCCTGAAAAGGATAAATGTGTCAACTATATACTTTATTCATTAAATAATATTATATATCATTTCATCTTGATACAAAATAGCTAGTAAGAAACAAGTTCTTGTCTCCCTCAAATACCTTCTTTTACGTGGTGTTCTGACATTTCGTTTGGTGACATTGCCTCTAATTGCCAATTGATACTCCTGTTCAGAAGCAGTTGCAGTACTGGATGATGTGAATGAGTGCAAAATTTCTGGAGGCTCTACCATCTTAGAAGTTTCATCAGGAAAAGGAATATGACTTGAGCTAAAATATTTTCTACATGAGTAAATGAAATGGTTTAGATTAAGAGAATACTGACACCACATGGGAAGGCCCTGGTATAGCTAACTCTTCCATTCTCAATCTAAAATAAAAGGTATACATAAAATACTGGACATAACACATGTAAACAACCAAAATCCTTTGACATACACATGATACTATTTAGATAAGTTTTGACAATAATTGTTTGGTAATGTACTTGAATGTATGAATTGCATTTATTAAAGCACACTTGAAGCACACAGGCACTGACTTATTTTACTGTGCCAATCTGTTTATTTTGATAATAATATGTAGTATAAGCTTATTATATGAGAATAGTTCAAGTCCGTATAGAACTCTACTCACCGCTTTCTGACAGGGCTCCCTTGACTGCTATGGGCTTCTGAGCTTGATTCCTTTGATGGAGTAAGTGTCACTGTTGAATCAGAGCTGGAATAATAATGTTTGTTTAAGATACTTATGGATACAATAACAAAGTAAATATTTACAGGGCTAGAGTCTAGAGTAAAGTACAAGTATAATCTTGACACATTTTTAATTCTTCAAACTTTAGATAATAGAAATGCTGAGTAAATATTAATCAATATGAATATATAGGGCAAATGTATCTGTATGCTATTAATAGCATGTCAAAAAAACTCAAAAAAGTAACAAACATATTTACCTTGCATACTCCTGCTCATCATGTATGGAGCGAACATCTACTGGTTCAGCACCATACTTCAAAAGCCTTCTTCCAGCAGAATCATATTCAAAGTCCCTATCATGAAAATGTTTGCTGCATATCAGTGCCACTTTCGGCAACGTTTTCTCCCAGTCAATGCCAAGCAGTGAAATCCATAAAATGCACTTTGCTGGGTCAGATGGGAGTCTAAAATTGTAAACACATGTCTTACACCAATGATCTGTCTAATGATTATAAACTAGTTAGCACAAAAATATAATCAAATCATGGCAAACTCACGTTTACTTAAGTTGCATGAAGATTGTGTATGTGGATATTTTTGTACTTGATGAACTACACCCAGAACATCTTTAAATTGTATCATACTGCTAGTGATGGATATATATTCATATAAACTCGTCAGGAAGCTACAAAAAGTTACTAAAATGATGGTAAAAGACTGTTTTATGATAATTTTTTCAGTAAAATTTGTATTGCCACGCCTATGATATGAAAACATAACCTTACTTACCGATGGAATGATAAATTGGCCGATTCTGGATTACTGCTGTTTATCTTGCACACATAACACGATCGCACCATTGTTCAACAGGTAACAGTTCAATATCACTAACAAACTTATGGCAAATAGCACAAAAATAATGATTTGTGAAAATCCACAACTCAAGCATAAAATACGCACTTTATACTATCGTAAAATGTCCATTCATAAGAAAAATGCGACGTTGCCAATGTCGACTGAAGCTCTGTGACTGAAGGAAATCTCTTTCCAATTCGCTAACGGTAAATTCAATACGAAAATAGTTCACTTTTCTACTTTTCACTATTGCTTATGCAGATTTTCAAGAATGTTAACAATTTTATTATTTTCATGAGTCCAAATAGCTGGTTTACACGATGAAATATTTGTTTGAGGTTTGTTTACTACCAGGTTAGGAATTCTATCAGCTAGTAACTGGCAACATTGCAATTCCCTAATATTTATCCTTTCAACGCGTTTTAGTGTAAATAGAAAGGTCTAGGTCTTTTCATCGTCGTTGAGCTACACCATATGTGAATGAAAACTTTGGGAATGCATATTGTTATATACTACAGAAATGCCCCTCACAGTTTCCACATTTATCTATATTTTTCTGTGAACGCCGATGCTTTCAACGTAGCAAATTTATAGCTCAACAATTGGCCTTTATAAGATCACGTAGGTCTGGAGACCTTGTGATCTTGTTCTATATGCCGTTCGATTTTGCTTTGAATTGTACAATTGTTGATTTTTTTTAGTCGCCGGCATTTTACAGAGGCGGCAGTATCATAGTCACAAGAGATCGGAACATTATGTCCACAGCTGAGGGTCATCAACTTCCATTGACTGTTTATGTCAATTTGGATAAGGTAGGCTATATTATTTCTAGTTCTAACCTAAGCATCCCAAGTTGGTGTTAAACCCTATTTCACGCTTTGACGTTGGGTGAACAGCTGATCAGCAAGTGAAATTTTTGTGTTAGTCTGCGACGTTGGCCATAACAAATCGGGTGTAAATCTAGTAGAACTTGTTTGTAGCGTTTTGATTTTTCTAAGCAAATGAACTTTTCTATATAAAAGAGCTGTTAGCAAGTACAAAATGAATCTGTAGCGCACAAAAAACCAAAACGGTTCTGACTACCTGACGTTGACGGATGCATCAGAATTATGTGTCCTGTGACGATATGGAGAATTGAGATATTACTAGATATAATCAGCTGTCATTCTACCGTGATCGATACTCGTGAAATAGGGTATATATACTGAGGTGAGGGTTGAATTTGAAACACCCCTATAGAAAAATAAGTTAAAGGCTATAATCTCACATTAACGTGTTAGAGCAATGATTTTTGATTAAACAAAAGTTTTACACCTATGTATAATTCTATCAAATATGGTTTTTGTTGCTAGAGTATTCTACCAACCATTTATTTCAGAACTTGAAAGCTACTGGCAAACTTTATACTGATGACGGAGTCAGTTTTGAGTATCAAGATAATAAAAAACTATATGCCCAACTGTCATTTACCGAAGAGCACATGCTGAAAGTGGAGTGAGTATAAGGACATTTTTGTTCACGTTATGCTTATTAATTGCATCAAAAGTATTTAGTGTTCCCGGTGTAACAATAATAACGTATATATATATATATATATGCGGTTCATAGTTATTGTAGAAATAACTAGCTAAGTGGAAGACTTGTCTTTGGGGATATCGACAAATTGTTAAGTGTACCCTTCTGATTTACAATACTCAAGCTTTCGACAAACTAATCATGGAGCACTTACAGCTCTCCAAATGTTGACTTTTCACAACCATAAATGGAATTTGGTTTTTTGGTCTATTCCACCCTTTCTCTCCAAAATTCCATTCCATTCAAATTTTGAATAATTGTTTTTTCTCATAATAAAATAATAACTGCTCAATTCATTTGTCCATCTCATCAACAATATAGTTTGTTCAACTGCCTCTGGTCTGTTGACAAGTTCTTATTTAACATATCTAGATAAATCACTCCATCTGAAGTGATTTGGCAACATAGCACACATTTTACAAAAATTTTTCGTTCCATCCATCGACACTGACACCACCAACCTCTGTCATCTGTCATATGTTTCATCCTACTCATGATCCTGTGGCACACCTTTTGTGCAGCATCAGGTGGTTCACGATGTAATTTTAACTTTCGTTCTAAATATTTTTTAATACGTTTTGATGTATTCCTGACATACAGCTGTGTGTATTTTATATTAATTTTAACGAATGTACCATGTATCCAGCCTTCACCAGGCTACTAAACGTTTCCCTCAACCTAACCGTTAATAACATTTAGCAACAATCTCACATAGTAATGTAAGTAATATAAAATCATTTTGCACACTAGCTGCTATTTTTTCTTCTCAATGTTATTGCAGCTCCTGATGAAGATGGCAAAGTCCATTGAAAGCTAGAGACTAATAAAGTATAAAGAGTCCTCACTGCCTGAATTTTGTCGAAGTACCCAACTAAAGGCGGAAGCTATATATATATATATATATATATATATATATATATGCATATTTGCTGAACTGCGAAAAATTGGAAAAGCAACATATCTCCCCCAACATCGACCTCTCCCAATAATCGCTAATCTACAGAATAAAAATTCTTCACTATCTTAATAAAATCAAAATTGCTCAAAGTCTTTTGTCCTCAAGTGTGAATATTCCCTACAGATTTCCTAGACTCCTTCCAAAGCAACATCTATTAAGTTTTGAAAATAACTTTGTACTTCATCGGTCAATAATAGCACAACCTCTTGCACTATATTACAAAATTACCTACATAGTAGGCAACACACGTCACAGTTACGACACAACGAATGACCTTCCAATAACTTCAATGTCAAACTTCATACGTCATTGTAGAATGTCATTTGGCCGGCACGTGTTGGCTAATGTGGAGGTTATCAGTGGAAAAAAAGATGAAATCTCGAAGGAATTTTCAATAGTTGATAGTTTTCAAATTTTCAAATTTATTCCAAAATCAATCAACGTCTAAGTGGAAAACTTTTCAAAAATAAAAAAAACATAGCTATGATTTTCCGTTTAATAATAAAATAATTCTGTCCTAATCGAACCTCATCAGTCCTGTTTTTTATTCGTCGACTATGTGTTCCCTTCACTGTTGTTTAAAAACATTTTCAGCAACTACCTCGCCGACTTAGTAAGTAACTATTTTTCGTCCTAATTGTTAATTGTTGCTATTGTCAATAATTGTTTCCAGCTCCAGACGAAGAAACGCTTGTTGCCAAAATTGGTTTCATATCCAACGTCACATTCTTCTGGATGTTTGTGTTTAATATGTGATGCTAGATTGATTTTTTTTGCAGACGTTTTAACTCGTTTGTTACAAATAGTGCAAACGGCAGTACCGTCTTCTTTTTTGAAATATGACCATAATCTACTTCTCTTCATATTTTGAAATTAAAATTGAGTATTCATTTATTAGCAACCAACAGGTACAACACGTGTACATGTCACATGTCATATCACAAAACATATACACTTGTCACTTGTCATATCGTCATACCTCATTTTCTAGAGAGTCAGTGTTGTCACGTTGCCAGTCAAGCGTTTTACCCGATTTTGTGGGTATTTTAATTTTGGTGTGTTTTTCGATATTTTGATACGATATATTGAATTTTTCGATATCGATATATCGATATCAGCGTATCGTCGATATGGATAAATATCGATATTTTTAGTTGTCGATATATCGATATTTATCGGTTTTCCGATATATCGTTGCATCCCTAGGTACAATACAGTCGAATGTCTGATCCATCTTTACCGTAAATGCACGAATCAGAGCAACGTTTGCAATTGGCGGCGAAGCATGCGCGGCAGGAGCACCTTTTTGTGGTAGCGATGATAGCTGGTGTCATGTGACGTCATCACTTAGTCTCACGCTCCAGCAACATAATTCTCCAAATAAGGAAGTTCTGGGTAGCGTAACTTCGTCGTTTATTAATATACTAAAAAAAACATTATTTGGTACTGTACTTCAGTTTACTTAGACCGTCAGTGTCTTTCAGAAAATAGGCGACTTCCTCATTATCACTGGTAGATAAAAAACTGGCGTGTAGATATGATCGAATCCACCTACCGATATGTATTTCAACGCGCTGAATCCGAATTTGAGTTTTGTTTGGTTCGTACAAAATGTCGAGTAAATTGAGAAAAGCCACTAAAAATGTCTTAAAAATGCACTTATGGAAATGAAAAAAATTGACAGTCCTGGAACAACTGAAGTTTAAGTAAATACTACTAGGATAAACACAGTAAATATTGATTGTGTCACATTGGCCTGTGCGGGCTATGAAATTTAATTTATAGATGCTCTCAGTAGAATTTCTTACCTTGTGTCTATTTGTTTTCTATAAAGTACCTAATTTGATTGCTTGTATCAATTAACTTCTTGTTTTTAGTGTTATCGGGAAGCAAGACAATAAAGACCTGACGGTTGTCATAGAAACAATAGTCATCAATGATTGGAATCGTAAGTATTCACTGGGTGCGCGATGATGACGCCATCTGGAGGTAGTCTGACAGAAATATTTGTGCTTTACCAAAGTAAACGTATATTAATGAAAATGACAGACACATTTAGTCGATTTGACGTTAGGAACAGTTGCAATTTCAAACTAAGATTTCTGGTATTCGTATTTGAAGATGTACAGGGTGTGAGGATATGTGAAAACAATATTGTTTACCTCAATATTCCAATGAGAAATAGATTTTCTCTCATTTGGTAAATAAAATAATGATAAGCACACACCATGAATTACATGTCAAATTGTATCCTATCAATTTCAATAGTTCGAGTTGAATACTGAGCCTCACATTAAGGAATATTTAAAAACGGTAGAGAAATATGTAATATCTATTTAGTTATCATTCTTGATTACCCCAATAAACGGCATCATCATTGGGCAAGGAGGAAAAAAACAACCAATCAACATTTGCACTTTACTTCCCTTTAAGATGGACCAGTTGAAATCGTCTGTCTGTTACTTTCATTAATTTCTGATACTTCAATAGCAGGCTAAATTGTGAAAATCGATTATTTTATGATTTTAGTAATACTCGTATATTAGGGGAGCTATCCCATCTCACAACAATATTTTTTTGAAGAATATATATTTTATATCTCAATTAGTACTGACAATAACGTAGGAAATTGTGTCTAAAAATGCAACTACACTTAACTAAACCTATGTTTAAATCAACATAACATGATATTTTTGGATGTACCTTCCACTCTTGTCATTTTTATTTGAATCGACCTATATTATTTTGTCTTATTTTTTCGCAGGTACGGAAGTGTCGATCCATCATCACGCCGATGAAGACGGTAACTTCCTGAGCAATATCAATGTTATTCATGCTTTAAGAAATAACGAAAACAAAATGTTGTACAAGCTTAGACGCTAAGTTAAGATTAAAAGTATAGTTCAAGCTGCAATTTTGTCATTCTCTTTATACAATTAATATAACCCTGTACCATCTCATTGTTAAGAGCCCATTTGAACTTGATTTGACACGAACACATCTCCATTCGCAACAGCTGCCGTTAAAAAGTTAGGTTATTTGTTTAGAGCTAAGGCCCGTATCGTCAGTCGTCCCTACAATTATTGTAGGGCGCCTTTATGGCCTCCTTGATTGTCATAGTTTTCTAGTTCTCCGTGTCAGTGCTCTATTTTGAGGTTATGTCACACACATATATTTGCATCAAATTGTGCTTGCTTTTGAGTTATCTCATGTTTTATCAGCCTGAAATCTCCTACAATTTAAAAAGAAAACATAACTGCACAATAGGAGAGCGCTGACGCTGACACGGGACAAGTGTAATCTAGAAATTTTTGAAGGAGAGAAAGGAGTATGACAATCAAGGAGGCCATAAACGCCCCCTACAATTGTAGGGACGACTGACGATATGGGCCTAAGTAGTACCATTCTCTGCACAACCTTCTCACTCTGTACAAGGCCCAGATCAGACCTAGCCTTGAGTACTCCTCACATTTTTGGGGTTCTAGCGCTCCTACTACATTTTCCATACTCGATTTTGTTCAGAGAAGGGTTGTTCGACTTATCAATGACACTCCTCCACGTACAGGCTCAGGAGATTTTGCACCGGCGACGGGGGTCTGCGAAATCGCTCTCCTCTTCCACTATGTCAACGGGCTTTACTCCTCAGAGCACTACTCCATGCCACCGCGCGATGAGCCTGCCACATAGACCCGCCTGCCTTCGGCCTCCTATTCTAAACATGTACAACTTCGTAGATCCAGAACTAGCCGATACGACCGCTCCATTGTCGCTAGGGTGTCGAGATTGTGAAAAAAACTGCCTGAGGAGGCTTTTACCAGTTCTGCTAACCTTAGTCAGTTCAAAAACCGGATTAACAAGCCATATTCAAGTTCTTTATAGCTGTCGTGGTGCACCGGTATTTTTAGGTTTCTACCTAAAAAACTTTTATACTTCGTATGGTTCAAAAGATTTTGGCCCAGAATTTCTGATGACGAAGCTCAATTTTTATATTAAAGTTATATCAAAGTATTTTGATAGCCAGAAACGAAGATGTAGATATCACTTGATGCTAGAATATACTGGGTATTTTAAATGAATTACTTAATCTCTCTTTGGGCAAACATAGGCTCTGAGAAGTCAAGGACTTCAAGCCCTTAATCAATTTTTAATTTCTTGTAATCTGATATTCTGATATACACGAGGATTATTCTAAGCATCTCTAATCATTAAACACAAGATCAGTAAGTTTTTAATTTTAAATTTGCATTTTTTCCTGCTCCCATAATTTGTTTAAGTAGTGTATTATAAATGAAAACAAAAGAGCAAGTATTTGAATGAACGATTCTATCAAATCACAATTAATTACTATTAAATAGTTCATGCTAGACTGGTATATTGTTTACATGCATCTCTATCTTGAGAGAAGTAATACTTACCTACTACTAAACTTGAAAATCAGTATTTTAAAAATATTGGCTATTTAGAGTAACCAGAACAATCTAACTTTCTTACAATACAATATAAAATGCCATTATTAATGGAGCTCTTTTTATGGCTTGTTTGCATCCATTTTTCAAGAATAATGCGTCGCAACGATACGCTTACGAAACGACTACTTTTACGATGCGTGTGCGAAGGCCCTTAGAGCCTTCGCACACTATGTCGTATCGTAAGCGTATCGAAATACGCGTGTAGGACGAGAGCTAAACGAGCTCATATGTATGCTAACAAGTCCGCAAACGAAGCGGTGTTGCAGCGAAGTGTATGAGATGTTCGTAGCGGTCTGGCGTAAGGCAGGCGTAGAAGCATGCGTAAAATTCTAAAGTTTTGTTTAATTGCTCTCGATATGGCTGACACGTCTTCTTCGTCATTCGATAAAATCTTCGGAATTTATTATCAGCTTCTGAAAGTCCACGTGCAGCAACAAGCAATATTTTCTTCTTATTACTTGCGATGTATGGATGGATCCAATGAGCACGTCGCTTTCTACTTCTAACATAATCAAACAATAAAGAATCCTCTTCATCTGAAGAAAATGTTAGATCAACAATGGGTGCACCAGAAACATCTGGTCCCGTTGACGCCATGATTTCAACTGAGATCTTACAAAACTATACGAGTACGTGACGATGCGTGTGTAGAAAGAACACTGCAGGTCACGTAAGCGTTGCGTCGTAACGATACGCTTACGAAACGACTACGCTGACGATGCGTGTGCGAAGACCCTTAATGTTCCAAAATTTTTTTTTTCGTGATGGCAGCATTTTCTTTTTCAAATCTATAATAAAACACTAAGACAAAGAAAATATATAAAAATGGAAGTGTCACTCCGCTACGATCACAATAAAAACAAGAGTTTAAAAAAATTGATACCTTTGTTTCTAACTTGACCGCAGTGGTGCGACACTATCTTGTACAGGGTGTTTCACAACTTACCCGACAAATTTTTACCACATATGCACTGTTACAAAAGAAGTTGATTTCTCAAAAAACAAAGTAATAAATGTCCTACAGAAATTAAATTATAAAACTGAGTTTCAAAGATAAATTGAAAAATAAATATCTGTATTTTCCGTTCATCGTCGTGATATTAAAACATGCATTAATAATTTAGTGTAGCAAATGTTGTACCAAACAACTGAAGAAAACAAAATATCAGGAATTTTTTGTTTTTTCATACTGATAAGAACGCGTAAATAAGGTTCATTCTGTATCGTGGGTTATCTGAATGAAGAACGGTCGATTTTTGTGAAGTTAAACATAAAATTAATTTTGCGAGTTATTTATTAATAAAAAAAAAGTTGTAAGTGATGATGATGCATGATCATAATGGAAAATCAAATATTTTATGATTTTATGTAATATATTAGGGGAGCAATGCCCATGTGTACACTAATCAGGAGTTAGTGGACCTTGTTTTAGCGTACGGAGAAGCAGGGCAAAATTCGCGAGCGGCTTCTCGTTTGTATGCACACCGATTTCCGAATAGTCACATACCACATCACAAAACATTTAGTTCAATTGTTTTACGTGCACGTGCTGGTGAAAGTTAGACGCGCCCATCTTGCATTGCAGTCAACAAGAACAATTTTGAATAGATTTTATAAGTAAGTGAACTTTTAAACTATATTATTTTATTATCTGAGAGACCTGGAGGTTGTCAGCGCTTGGGGATGCAACAACCTTGTACAGTTTAATGCTTTCAAAACACAGTACTGTACTTTGACCAACAAAAAGCGTCCTAGCGCTCATCCGGTTTCGATGGATGGCCGAGTTCTGGCAAAGAGCCATTCATATCGGTTTTTCGGAATCTATATCACCGAGGATTTGATCTGATACGAACACATCTTATCAACAACAGCAGCTGCTGGAAAAACTAGGCTATTTGTTAAGGGTTTTACAAAAAAAAATCGCTAGGTACAACCAAATCACTCGAGCGACTCCAAACTTGTACTGAAGGCGGATCATATGTTTCCCTGTCTCCCCTTCAAACTCGGTGCCTCCAGTGTTGCCAGTTCGAACGCTACGTTGCCAGTCTCATCACTCAATTTACAGGCTTATTATGCATAGAAAAGCTATTGCAAGTTGCAAGTTTGCTCAGTGAATACAAGGTATTCCGACCACTTGACATTATGACCGTGATTCTGCGAAGCGACATCTCTGCGCAAAGCGGAGAACGTCGAGCGGTACGACCTAGAGAGCGTAATGCTCCCTCTAAAAAAATCAGCTTGCAAAAACCATCGATCGGTGGCGATCGTCAGATTGCGGGGTATTCTAAGAAACATAAGTTTTCGTTTGAATTATACTAAGTGACATATAAATCCGAACACCCAGTATAAATGGTTTTATTTTAATAAAAGTTGGTGAATGTATTTATCCTACTGTAAATAACAAGTGAAAAAATTTTCATCCTTATCAGTTGGACATTCCGGTTTTTATAATGCTTTTTTTTAATTCACTAACGCTCTAAAAATGAATATTTCAGCCGCAGTAAAGAATCAACGTTGGCGGATTTTGGTTCTTGACATCCTTTACGATCGGTTACGATGCCTAGAGTACGGAGACCTGTACCATTTCGTCAACTTAGTGAGTTTGATAGGGGCCGTATAGTGGGACTTCGGGAAGCTGGACTTTCTTTTCGGGCAATTGCAGTTAGAGTGCCAAGAAGTGTAGACACTGTGGTTAGGTGTTGTCAGGCATGGCTTCGAGAAGGCCGTACGCAAAGAGCAAGGGGCATTGGACGCCGCCGTAGAACAACAGACCGTGAAGATCGCCGCCTAAGATTTGGCCTTAAGGGACCGTTTCTCCACTACCAGGTCCATTGCAAATGAATGGTTTGCAGAACACGGAAGACCTATTGGCATGCGAAGTGTTTACCGACGAATGAGAAGTTTTGGCTTGTTTTCATACCGGCCACACTGGGTCCTCCCTTTAACTCGAGAACACCGACGTAATCGCCTTGAGTGGTGCAGACAATGGTCACTCTGGGATCAGGAATGGAACAGTATTGTCTTTAGTGACGAGTCTCGATTTTGTTTAGGCATGCACGATGGTCGTGCCAGGGTTAGAAGGCGACGTGGTGAAAGGAGGAATCCACAGTTTTTTGTTGAAAGACATGTTCATCACACTGTTGGAGTTATGGTTTGGGGAGCTATAGCTTATGGTTCCAGGTCACTTTTAATCTTCATCAGAGGTAACATGTACGCGCAGCGTTATATCCACGAAGTTCTAGAACCCCATCTTTTACCCTATCTTGACACCCTGGCAGATCCAACTTTCGAACAAGATAATGCCCGACCACATGTTGCAAGAGTCACAATAGACTTCTTTCAACATAATGATGTCACATTGTTACCATGGCCACCAAGATCTCCCGACTTATCCCCAATTGAGCACGTGTGGGATATGATGGGTAGGAGATTGCTCAATTTCGAGAGGAGTTGGTGGTTGCCTGGAATGAGATACCACAGGAGGACATTGACCACCTGATCAGAGGCATGCCTAGGCGCGTTGGAGAATGCGTAGCACATCAGGGTGCACCCACACATTATTAAAGGTCAAAGGGCTTTAAAGCAGTGCAATCATTTTGAAATTTTTATCATTTAATTATTATGCTTCATTAAGTACTTATACAAAATTTTATTAAAATAAAACCATTTAAACTGGGTGTTCGGATTTATATGTCACTTAGTATATTTTTATTCACTCCAACATACATATCATGTGAAAATTCAACATAAATTGATGCTAAAATACTTCACGATTAAGTTGATTAGAAACACAAGGAAATGAGAAGTATGTTTTGATACAAGCATTTTGACTACTGTTGTTTCAAATTTGATGACCTTGTGAATGATTGGGATGTTTCTTGGTTTCCATTGCCTATAAGTTTTTCTGATTCACGTTTCAGTTGAAATGATGTCCAACCGTCACCAGGTGAAATGGCGAACATGCTGATTTTTTGGCTATTTATACCATTTGATGACATGGCCGGTGCTTGATTGTGAAGTGCCGCTCGTTGCGGTTGGTTGAGTTGTAGTTTGATGTTTTTTGAAATTGAATGCCATACTGGTTTAATTTACCACACCTGAATTACTGTAAACATATTCATTAATTATTATGGAAGCCGCTTCCTTAAATTCTCTCGGATGCCCATGTTTTTCTTTTTGTAAGATCTTAGCATGATCCCGTGATGCATCGATTGTTTTAGATTTTTTAGATGTTCGATGTTCTTCCTGGTTATAGATTACTAAAGTATCATCCACATATTGAAACCAAATCTTCCAATTAAGATCGAAGTTTTTGATGGCGATTGACTACATGTATAACTTGGTCACTACAGCTGAAAGCAATGATCCCATTGACAGACAGTCTTCTAGAATGTGAAATTCTTATTTTACTTATAAGAAGTTGTTTATTAGGCAGAACGTGAGTAATTCTATTCCACCATTCTCGTTCAATTCCTGAACTTCTCTAAATTTCGTGTGGGGTACTTAGCTCCGGCTGAACATTTTGAAAAACATATATTTCTTTCGGATTGAGCAGCTATTGATACAGCTTTTTTGTAGCTTGGTATCTCTTCGTATTCAACTTCGTTTGCGTGGAAAAAATAAAAACAACTTGATTACATATCGAAAAATTATTAAGATGAGATCAAATCGTTGACAAGGAATGTTATTTCGGTACTATGAAGACATTTTTGACTTTCCGTGACCGGTTGCTATTATTTTTTCTCTGCCAAAAGCCATATTTTTTATCCTTGACACCTAATATTTGGAAACCAGACTTCTTAGGTCACATGCTTATATGAACTGTTTTCCTTGAATTTGGTTCAGGAATACGCCCTTGTAATTTCAGTCTATGATTAGGTAATACTCTGCATTTCATTATCACGACAAACATTAAAGAAGTATCGATTCACGTATCCATATCAGTTGAAAAAATCTTATCTTCTATTAGCTGTTACCCAATATTATTGATATAATCCAAAATCTATTTAAGTCCCCAACACCATACGAACCTGGGCCAGTTCAAAATGTTGATCAGGTAAGTTTGATTACCTTTTTCTTCTTTAATTCCACGTTTTTCAACCCCTACTAATGAATAAGTGTGGATGTTGCTCAATCACCAGGTAGATTATAATTTGGAATATAGGCTACTCTTTATCCCGGAAAATAACTAAAAAACATCTGTTCCACGGAATGCAACCCAAACGGCTTAATGGAATTAGATATGAGGTGTCTGATGAGAAAGCGCTCAGTCGCTAGTTCGAACGAACTCAGTAAAGGCATATGCATAAATAGGCCATTTGTATCGTGTACACCTAGTTACTGCATTTCGACATTCATTTTGTTAGCGTGATTTTCTTGATTTAGATTTGCTGTTTTCTTTTACTTCAAGTATAATTTGCAGAAACAATATTCTTTCTGATGATTTGTTTCGAATCCCTTAGAGAAGCTTAGGTTTCGTAGGATTTGAGATTTTAGGATTAACTAATGCCAGCTTCCACTGCTTGGGGAGGTGTCCTTTTTCTGAACAAAAATTCAAAATATGTGAGTGATAGAGTCTTGATTCTCTTAGAGATCATTGTGAGGTGATATTTGAGGTCATCGACAAATTACTCTTATTTTAAAACTGTTTCTAGAACCCCGTATCAAAAAAAAAATGTTCGGGGTGCTCGGGTATTTCATAGAAATTTGTTTGTCAAACATGCGGCAAAAATGCTATGATGCTTTTTGGGAAAGAGATTTGTTGCGAATATACAGGACGAAATAAATTTTCAACAATAATAACAATTTATGACTTAAGATTACACGTATGATTTCTTAGTCTACAAGAATTGTTTAAAAGGGCTACCTCCAGCTCTAATGCAATCCTCCATTCTTCTCCTCATCTACTCTCGAACTCTTTCGGAAACACCAGGGTCGTTTTATATTGAGTTACGAGTATAGTCAGCAATTATCCGATCTTTTAAATCGTTCACATCTTCCACTGGCCGAGTGTGAATTAATGACTTTAGAGGGCCCCATAGGAAATAACCCAGGAGGTCTAAGTCTGGGGACCGAGCAGGTCAAGAGTGAGGTCCGCCTCGACCAACCCAGCGATCTCCATATATTGTTGCATCTTCCAGAAACTAAGGTAGCGTGTGTTCCAAAAAGTTGCGGTATACTTCGCCGGTAAGTCTTGCTGGTAATAATTCAAATCTTCATGTGGATTTCCGTCAGCCGACTCATGGTTACAGTGAAAATTCCTTATAACATTTCGCGAGAAACTGGCTTCGTCAGAGTTAGTAGTTGGAGGATGGCAACCAGTGTATCCAAAAGCCATTGACAGAATGAAATATGTCTCTAAGAATTTTTCCAAACAGTCCAATTACTTTCATCCAAAGCATTTTCAATTCTTAGAGCAGAAGTGTATGGATCATTTCGAGCACATTCTCTTGTACGACTACCGTTCTCACAGTCCTTGGCCTCCCTGGTCCTCCAATTCACTTTAATGTTTCCGTTTCTCGAAGACGAAAATGATAACTTTGAAAGATTTTTCTAACTGGAACAATACAGTCGCCTAGCTTGTAATGAATTGCCTTCAGTAAGTCCATAAATGATATGCATGCCAGTCATCTAGTCATTCGTATCATGATAGAGGACTTCACAAGCAACCGTTCAAGTATTAAGGGCAGAAATTACACGCCAAAAGGCAAAAATTAGTCAATCTTAACAAACTCTGTTGCTATGATAACAACTCCTTTTTATCGCTTGTTTTTTACTTGCTAAGTCCAGTTCTATGTATTACATAAATATTTTTTTTTTTTACTTGTCAAGTCCACTGTAGTATGCCATACTTTTATTTCGGCTACATTAATAATTTGAAATATGCCAGAGTTGGATTTGTTGAAAAATATTTCGACCTGCATCTTCACACTTCAAACTTTTTCAAAAATTATCAGAGGATAAAATATCCTAAGAATATTAAAATAAATAACATCTATAATTTTTGCCACATGTTTAACAAGCAACTGGTATATTGTTGCAATAAAATATTGAAAAAATATCTATTGCCAAGGTAGCTATTACATTACTTTAACATAAATTACAATTTTCCCCGTTTTTTTGTTTTTTCAAAACCTTTGAGAAGCATTACAAGAAATCACCACGGTGCTCGCGTTGTGTGTAATCAAGCCAAAGATAGGAATGACGCGTCTGATACAAAACATTTTCGCAGTGCCTCAGATCTAGGCGCTGATTTGTATTTTCTACTTGGCGTGGCAAAATACGTTTCTCCGAAATTTAAATAACGGGAAATGAAAATAGTGTGAAATGTAATAACCCATTTTCACGTTTCATAATAAAAAATAAAAAATATTTCTGCCTGTAGCCTATCTTCTCGTCTGTTAGTTGTAATATAATTGACCAGGCAGGGATTTGTTTTTCTATCTCTCTCATTTTTGAAATTCAGCAAATTTGAATATGAAATTCTGCCGTTTCCTTCCAGCTGTAGCATACAACTTACAGCTTAGCCTTCCAATAATGCCATCCCTGTAGCAGATGTTACATCAGAACCAAACATTGATTGATGCAGCGTCATGATGTTTAGGCAACACATACAGCTACAAAACTAGAGTACATCAAGTAAACAAAAAATAGTTCTAAGACGACATCTTGTAGAAAAACCTACATAATGTCACAAAAACCTATATTGTGTCAAAAAAAAACGACATCATGTTACTTTTCAAGATACGTAATACCCCTGCGGACATATCGCCCTGTATAAGGGATAATTGACAATACGTCATATTTTTGCTCGTGAAAGTTTTCAAGTTTTTCAATAGAAAATCCGATTTAAAAACATGGAGATAGACTTTGGAAGTCAAAGTAATGATCCCCCAGCGTCCCCGATGATGAATGGACCCAGCCAGAAGGAGAGAACAGAAATTACCATTAAATCAAAGGAATTGATGACACCAGCTGAAGCAGACGAAAAGGATAGAACCATCCAGCGCCTGACCCTGATCATCGAAAACCAGACCCAGCAAATAAAGGAGTTGACTGAGACAGTTAGGGATCAAAACAGTAAAATAGACTGCCTGACCACCCAGGTAACATAGTTAATCAATAATGCAAATTTTAATTCTAAATCTGACAAGGCTGTCAATTTAAAAAGACGCCTTGAAAATTTAACTGTCGTGACATCGACCGACGATAAAATACAGAATGACGGATTCATCCACGCCAAGTCTAGGAGAAGACGCATCGACAAAACGAACAAAACCGACAAGACGGATGACTTCCTACCTCTTCCAAAAGCAAAATCAAAATTCAAGTTGACAGTCCTCTCAAAACCTTCTGCTTCATTAAACGTATCAACTTCTTCTGCCACTTGTCCTATGACGGTCGATGCAGCGACCACATCTTCTCAATCTTTGGCCACTGCATTGACTGACGGTTCATTATCTCAACAATCTCACGTTGCTGGTGAGTTGACCAGCACAGCACCCCGCCAGGGGCGACATCTAAACTACACCTTTATAAGCTTAGGCATTAAGATAGAACGCGCAGTTGCCGTTGATGCGGGAATCAGGATTTTGCCGAAAACTGAGGATGACTACCGCAGGAAGACTCTTCAGATGAATCTCAGCATAGCACATCAACGGAATCCTCCGAGATTCCGTTTTGCACAGCAGCAGAGCTCCAACGCCACATTAAGGACATAAAGGTGCGTAAAGCACCTGGAGAGGATCAAATCACCAACAAAGCACTGAAGTTGCTTTTACTCAAGGCCTTGACTTATCTGGTGGCAATCATCAATGCAATGCTCAGAACTCATTACTTTCCTAAGGCGTGGAAGGTCGCTGATGCCGTCATGGTCCCAGAGAAGGCAGGTTCGATATTCCCCCAAGATTACCGTCCCATTAGTGTGCTGTAAGCTCCTTCTAAGCTCGCTGAAAAGGTGATTTATCGTCACCTTGAGAATTTCTCGTCAGATTACCATGTGATTCCTGACGTGCAATTCGGCTTTCGGTCTGAGCATAGTACGGAGCTACAGGCAGTTAGACTGGTGGAGCATGTAACCAGAGGGTTCACCCTGAACAAAAGTACTGGTATCTTGCTTTTAGATGTATCAAAGGCATTTGGCAAGGTGTGGCACATGGGCCTCTTGTAAAAGCTCATCCAAAAGGGTTTTCCATTTTGGCTACTAAAAATGTTGAAATCTTTTTTAGAAGGAAGGAAGTTTCGGATCAAAATTAACAATGTGTTGTTAATAACACAGCCGGTGTTCCTCAGGGTTCGGTCTTAAGATCAATCCTTTATTCACTTTATATACATGACCTCCCTTGGTCCCCCAGCAACTGTGAAGTCTATCTCTATGCTGACGACACTACATTGCTAGCCCAGTTTTGTTCTGGTAACCTGGTTCACGATAGGCTGCAGAGTGCGGTGGAGGAAGTACTGGAGTGGGCGGATCGGTGGTTGATCAAAATTAATACTTCGAAAACACAGGCAATAGGTACCTTTACACTTACACTCTTTCGCGTGGGTTTTGAACGTGACGTTCCAATCGTGCGCGCAAGAACGGTAATGTAGATGTGAGTCGGGCATGTGCGCAAACACTTCGTACTTTAGTAAAGACTTGATTGCGGGAGAAGAACGTGAAGGTTTTTTGTGCATAATTTGAGTGTGCGTGAGTGATTGGCACGCGGTATAACAAATAAAATAATTACATTGTAAGTAAAGTTTATTATTGTAAAATTGTAAATTACATTTTAATTCATTTTTACAGATATTTTCAATAAATACTTATTTTGTGTGCCATGGGAGACAGTAGGTACTGGTCGAAAGAGTTTATAAGGCATTTTATTGAAGTTTATAAATCGTATCCGTGTCTATGGAAGGTCAGGTCAAAAGACTATACAAATAAAAACCTAAAAAATAAAGCTTACGAGAAATTGGTAGAGGTCTGCAAAACCATTTTTCCTGAGGCAAATAAAGACTATGTTATAAAAAAGATTCAAAGCTTCAGAGGTTCTTTTCGCAAGGAAGTAAAAAAGGTGGAAGAATCAATGCGAAGTGGAGCTGGGGCAGATGATGTCTACATACCCACTTTATGGTACTACGACCTATTGTTATTTACCAGTGATCAGGAAATACCAACCGCTAGTATAAGCAATATGGATACGGACGAATTAGAGGCAGGATGTGACAATGGGGCAGAAGAACATGCAGAGAATAATGAATGCCAAATACTACAAGAGCATAATAATGAAAGTGAATCTCAGGATACTGAATTACAAGAAAACACAGACACAGGCGTAAAAAAAATTTATTAACACAGGTGAGTTATAATAATATAAATTAAGCTTTTCCTTTCTTTATCATGTCAAGTTGCCACGGAACTTTTCCTTCCAAATTAAAATATTGTTTGTACTTCTCGCGATTACTTTTAGCGTTTATTGTTACATTTTTTTGCGTACTTGTTCGTAAACTGGTAAGTTCGGTACTGCTATTCCGCCATTCACCCATTTGTAATTCGTGAGTCGCCAAATCTTCGTGATCAAACGATCTGGGAGGTGCATAAGAAGTCGTGCGTCTTATAAGAAAATTGTGCAAAGCACAAATAGCCAAAACCACGTAGGTGATATTTTGTGGATCGGTAATGTGTATGGCTCTGTGTAAAACTCGAAAACGTGCAGCTAGTAAACCAAAAGTATTCTCAACAACATTGCGTGCACGGGATAAACGGTAGTTAAAAACTCTATTTTCCAATGATAGATCTCTTTGAGGATACGGTTTCAAAAAATTTTCGTGCAGTGAAAATGCTTCATCGCCTAAGAAAACGTAATTAAGATGTTTCTCCGTTTCATCATTATTCGGCAAATGTAATTGACCTGAAAAAATTATCGTTTTAATAAAAAAAACCTCTTGCATAAAAAAATGACCTTTATTTTATACCTTTTGTCAATTTATCATAAAATTCTGTGTACTCCAAAATTCCTCCATCGGAATGTCTTCCATTTTTCCCAGCTTCGATGTAAATAAATTCATAATTTGCGTTTACAAGCGCTAGTAGAACGATGCTATAAAAGTTTTTGTAGTTGTAATATTGAGCTCCCGAATGAGGAGGCGGAACAATGCGTATATGCTTCCCGTCAAGGGCTCCCCCACAATTTATAAACTGCCATTGATTTTTAAAATCCGATGCTACTTGGCACCAATCGTCTTTTGTTTTTGGAAACTGGAATAAAATAATACTTTTAATTTTTTTTTAGAATTCGCATGCTTCACAATCAAAACCACCCCTTTCCACACCCAAATCTACGAACGTGACCACAAGGCAAAAAGTCAAGAGCAACTTTAATAAATAAAATGCTGAATTCATGCAATTTTGCAGAAACCAGTTGCAAATGACAAACAATGTTATTAGTGAATATGATGCAGTTGGAATTTCATGGAGCGAAAAATTAAAACGGATGGATTCCACTCAAGCCATTTTGGCCGAAGCATTGGTTAATAAAGTTATGACCCAAGGATTATTAAAAAAGTTGACATGTACTACAACCCTGTCGGATACAGAGGAGACACGAAATACTTCAATTTCATCCTGCAGTCGATACACGGTATTATCAAATTCTTCTGGTCAGCAATGGCAGTTTACATCACCATCAGACCAGGACTGTAATCAACAGAGGCAGGTTTTATCACCTTCGGAGCAAGAATCTGATCAACAGTGGCAGGTTACATCACCACCAGTGACAGAACAAGCAATCGAGACCTCTTCAACAAATATAGTGGATTTTTATAATACTGCTGCAGATAATATAGATGGGTAAAACCCCTACCTAGCAGCAAATATTTTCTTTTTTAAAGTTGTTCTTTTCACTGTTCTTTTTTTCTACGAAACCATTTATTTTTAAGATATACCTACTTGCTGTTCGCTAAAAAATAATTGTTTTTATTTTTAATAAACTTACCTTCAAATAAGTTTCTTTAAGAACCTGATATATGGCTTTGCATGTTTTGGGTATGATGTAGCATAAGGAAGATGGTGATATTCCAGTAGAAAATTTAAGATCTTCATAGGAGCGACCTGTCGCTAAGTAGCGTAATGTGGCAGCTAGTCTTTCCTCCGCACTAATACTTTCTCTCATCTTCGTGTTTTGTTTAGAAATAATAGGTGAGATCAATTCTAATAATATATTAAATGTATCAAAGTCCATACGAAGATAATTTTTAAAATCACTAGGATAATCTTGTCTTAGTTCTTTTAATAGTGGCATGTGACCATATTTGTTACGATCCTCCATCCATTTTTTCACCCATATGCTTCTTTTTCTTTTAATATTTATAAAATTTATTTGTACAGCCATACAAAGAGCCACTTTTAATTTATGCTGCTTTATTTTCTACATTTTTTTATATCAATCCTTTCAGAATTTCTAAAACGCCTGGAGAACGGTCAAATCCGCGCGATAACCAACACTTTTTACTTTACACTGACATGTTTTTCCTTTTACGTTATATACGCGCGGTTAAGTCTGCGCGAATGGAACGTTGAATTTTTTATTTTTCTAGTAACACACTCTTGGAACGCTACGTTCTTGAAGCGCATTATTGGCCGCACGATTGGAACGCCGTTCAAACCCCACGCGAAAGAGTGTAAGTGTAAAGGTACCTAATACGAACTGTCTTAAAAATTACAACTGCTTATCGCACGGTTTGAGTGTGTGTCGTGGAACGGTATAGGATAAAAGTGCAAATGTAAATCAAAAACTGTCATCTTTCGCGAGTGATATTCGTGGCATGTGGAGTCTTGAAATTTTCAACAGTTTTCAAGGCGGTTTTTATCTTCATAATGGATAAAATAATTAAGAAACGGAAAATAAGAGCAGCTTTGTGCTTGGCTGTGTATCTAAATATTCCAAATAAGAGACAAAGAAAGTGTTGGGTGAAAACATGGTTGGAAAATCGCAACAGATATGGACATTTGCCTCTGCTTCATGAGTTGCGTGATAATTATCCCATGGATTTTAGAAACTATTTGAGAATGGATTCTGAATCATTTAGAATTTTGTTGGATTTGGTTTCTCCAATGATTTCTAAA